CCCAGTATCTGGGAGAAAGATGCAGGAGGAGCACAATTTCAAGGCCGTCTTCAGCTACACAGAGAATTAAAGACTAGCCTGGGCTACATGAGATCTTGTCTCACAAAGGCAATGCAAATTTCTTATAAAGCACACTGGGGCCAGAGCAATGATTCGGTAGGTAAAGGCACTTGCTGTCAAGCCTGATGACCTGAGTTCAATTCCTGAGATCTACACGATGGAAGGAGAGAACCAACTCCCACAAGCTGTCCTTTGACCTCCACACATGTGCCATGGCGCATGGGCTTGAACATGCACACGCCCCCGCACACACACACACACACACACACACACACACACACACACGGTCAATCAAAATATAATTGACTTTGCATCTTGAGACAGCCAATATTAGAATAGTCACGATGGAGAATAAGGTAGAAAAGACCAACTATCAGATGCTGATCTAGCAGTGGCTTACCTGCCTGCACTGCCTATTTATCAAGCATGGCTTCACTTGCTTGCTTCCTGAAAGAAAAGGACCTGGAGAAATAGCTGAAACAACAGATCATTGCCCTTAACAACCCAATGACGGCCATTCTGTAAACTCTTGCTTGCTTGGCCGCCCCACCTTGTGGTTTTAGAGTATGAAACAAAAATACAAGGGTACCAAGGATTTTCAGTATCTGTCTTAGCCTAGTTCTACCAACGACATCTTTTGTTGTCCACGTGTTCATTACCTGGGAGCCACTCTAAAAGTTCTTGTATCAGCTCTGTCTTTCTGGGGCAGGGGTCCCAACCTTCCTAAGGCTGCAGCCTTTAACACAGTTCCTCACGCTGTGGTTATGTTCATCACCACTTCACAACTGTAACTTTGCCGCGGTTATGAATCGCAATGTAAATATCTGATACTTCCAGTGGTCGTAGGTGACCCTTGGGAAAAGGGGTCCTAATTCACAGTTTGAGAATCACTGCTCTAGAGAGGGCACCCTGACTAACATAGAACAGAAACCATAGGGGCAGCCATTACACCACTGGGTGACCTTCAGCAGCTCAGTCCTCTTTGGGTAATACCTACTTCAGCTGGGAAATGAAATAACAGGCCGGGGTTAAATCTCCATGGTCCCTTCCAGCTCAAAACCTGTAATTCTAGAACCTGCTTGTTAGATGTGACAAATTATGATGTCTCTCTCTCTCCAGTTACATATGTTCCAGCGCATGGTGTTTTGGATATAAATATGCTAGGGTTTGCGTCTTGTATATGTGTGTATTCTAGCTATATGACTACAGTGTTTGTTTGTGGACAAACAAGAGATGCTTCACGGGTTCTTCAGACAGGACCAAATGGCTGTGGGATACAGTAAGCACTGACTCATGGCATTATGGAAAGACAAAGTACTCAAGAAATTTGACAAGGTTATTTTGTTGTTTCTTTTCCTAATATTATTATCGTTATTATTTTAGTTTTTCAAGACAGGTTTCTCTGTGTGGCCCTGGCTGTTCTTGAACTCACTCTGTAGACCAGTCTAGCCTCAGAGATCTACCTGCCTCTGCCTTCTGAGTGCTGGGATTAAAGGCATGCAGGGGCCTTTATTTCCAAAGAATACTTCCTATTTTTTTTTTTTTTGCAACTAAATCTAATTAAGTTTTGGAATCAACTGGGATCAGTTCCCACAGCTTGTTTGACTCAGAGCCAGGGCAATGATCGTGATATTCAACGCCTGACCTGCGCACTCGCACAGTGAGGAGCCATCAAAGGGCCTGTGGTTTCTGGAGAGCACAGCGTGCCAGGCCCTGCTCTGTCCCAGTGCTCTGCAGCCGCCTGGCTGCAGCACCTTCTCAGGTAGAGCAGGACCTCACAGGACTGAAAGGCTCTCTCGAGGACCGTGAACTAAATGTTAGAGGGCATAGATGAGAAGTAATTGTGGAGCCTCCGACAAAATGTGAAGGCTTCTTAGTAACTCCTTCCCAGGGCTCACCTCAGCAAACCAGGATGTGATCAGGCCAGCTCTAAGGGGCACGGCGGAGGTGCTCTTTCATTATGGCTTTATTATTACTTATTTAATAATAATAAATATATCATTTTAATATTCACCATTAATTATTAGTATATTTATTATATTAACATTATAAAATATATAATTATATACTATGATATAATTATGCTATGATACAATAATTATTAATATAAAATATTATATTTATTATTAAGACTAAATAAGCAATAATATCTATTATTACTTAATTATTACATTATTGCTTTCATTATTGCTTACACCCAGTACTCCAGTTGCTGTATTAAGAACTGGAGGGATACTCAGACAAAGAAATACCGAGCTCAGGATCGTGTTCCAGGCTCTCGGTCCTCACCATTTCCTTTTATTGGTCTCTTCACCTCTAGAAGCGTAGGAAGGAAGGTTTCTCCAGCCCCTACCAGGCTTACACTCCGCGGGGAGAGCGACCCTGTAGCTTTAGCTCATTCAACAGGTCATTCATTTGCTTATTAAGAGCCAGGCATAGCTGTAGGTACTGGAGACACCAACCAACAAGGTCCCTGCCCCTGTGGGCACTGTCAACCGAGAAAACCAGACACTGAAGAAATGAATATGAAAACAATGTTATATGTATATATGTAATGTCTGGTTTTGTGTGTTTTGACACAAATCAGAGCCATCAGAGGAAGGAGTTTCTGTTGAGGAAATGCCTCAATGAGATCCAGCTGCAAGGCATTTTCTCAATTAGTGATCAGTGGGGTAGGACCCAGCCCAAGGTAGGTGGTGCCATCCCTGGGCTGGTGGTTCTGGGTTCTATAAGGTGGGCTGAGCAAGTCATGGGGAGCAAGCCAGTAAGCAGCACCCCTCCATAGCCTCTGCGCCAGCTCCTGCCCCCAGGATCCTGCCGTCTCTTCCTTCCTGATGAACAGCAATGCTGAAGTGTAAGCCAAATAAATCCTTTCCTCCTCAACTTGCCTTTTGGTTGTGGAGTTTTGTTGAAACAAGAGAAACCCTAACTAAGATAATACAGAAATCATGGTGGAGGTTCTGAAGTAAGGAGGCGGAAGGAGAACCCAGTTTGTCTGAGGAAGCATGCTCCTGAGACCTCTGGGGGATGAGCTATAAAGCAAGGGCACCCTCCAGCCAGAGGAAACAAGGTCACAGGAAACACAGCGTCTTCACAGAGACGTGACAAGAAAGAAAAGGGGCAGATCCCAGAGCAAGCGGGATGGTGGTTCTCAACGAGACTGGAGGAAGAGGCAGGGCAGAGCCACCCTGGCCTGGGAAACCGAGGTAAGGAAGCCTCTGTCCATTCACTCTGCTTTAGAGCCTGATGCTCCCCCTCCCTGCGCAGTGCAGAAATGATCTAGTTTGTCCCACCGGTTCTACTGGCCCTGGGTGCTGTTGAAAATTGAGGTTAGAAGACTGAACACAGCACAGACCACTAATGTGGTCAGTTTCAGACTTTCCTGTAGGTTGGGTAACCTCAAAACTCCTCTGACCCATCCCGTGGGCTTGGTGAGTATGGTTTTATGTACAGACTCAGTGTGCCTAAAGACTGGCGTTCCAGGGCTGGAGTATTGACTCTGCATTTAAACCCTAGGAGAGGGAGCAAACTGCGACAACAGCCATAATAAAGAACAAAAGCTACAAAAGGAGAGATGGATAGGGATTACTGAGTAAGAAAGCTCATGCAATTACGTTCCAGGAGACACTGAGAACAAAAGCTACAAAAGGAGAGATGGATAGGGATTACTCAGTAAGAAAGCTCATGCAATTACATTCCAGGAGGCACTGAGAATTCTCCTCCGCAAGGGAAGTCAACGCCACAAATACCCCTCCTGTGAAGAATGAGAAGTTCCATCAGAGCCAGGTAGCCATGGCACACGCCTTTAATCCCAGCACTCAGGAGGCAGAGGCAGGCAGATCTCTGTGAGTTCGAGGCCAGCCTGGTCTACAGAGCAAGTTTCATGTCTTGAAAAACCAAAAATAACAACTAACACTGGCATTTGCTACAAAAAAAAAAAAAAAGCCCGCTGACCTGCGTTTGATCCTAACCCATGTAAAGCAAAGCACCCATACGCGCCAAATAAATAAATCTTAAAAAAAAAGAAAAAAAAGAGCCAAGTTGGAAAAGTTTAAAATATGTATATTCAGGACCAGTTAGATGGCTCCTTGGGTGAATGTGCCTGTCACCAAGCATGGCCACCTGTGTTCAATCCCTGCGACCTGCATAATAGAAGGCGGAAACTGATTCTCACAAGGTGTTCTCTGACCTTCAAACGCCAGCCACTACCAGCATCCACACACTCTGCACGTGCGTGCGCGCACACACACCACACACACGCACACGCACACACACCACATAGATTTTTTTTTTCTTTCAATTTGACTCAATCCTTCCATTTCCACTACTCTACCCTTGGACAAAAATCAGAAATGTGTTCAAGCATTCTCATGAAAAGGGTTAGTATACCATCAATAATAACTCAATATACAATCTAGATTACATAATTACTTGATGGTATCTCCTTATGGAAGCACGGGTAATAGCTTTTCGAAAGGATTTTAAGGGCTGTGCCAACTACCAGTTACAGTCTGATGGTGCCTTAACAGGCAAGGTGGGGGAAACCCGAGGGGTGAAGGACAGATTTCCCGGAACACTGACATTTGAGGTAAGTCTCAATATTTGTAGAGAAGTTTCTAGGTGTAAGGGAAATAAAAAGGACCAAGTGAAGACTCTGAGGAGATCTGGAATGATAGTCCCCGCCTACCTCTCCTCTGCCAGGTCACCAAGCCCGTAGTGTTCCCAGTGTTCCCGTGAGTGAGCTGAAGAGCCATGACGGTGATCCGGATGGTCATGGCCTCTCCCTGGATTAGAGGGGTGATGTGGAAGGCTGTGCCTCTGCCCTGGGGGCTGGAAGTAACGCCCAGCCCTGGGCCTGAGGGTCAGGCTTCTGGAGCGAAATAAGTCCCAGGCCCAATATAGGCTTTCCACTCAGTCCCGCTAGGGGCGCCAGAAAACGACTCGCTGCTCCTACAACGTGCGCAAGCGCAGTTGTCCAAGGCCCAGCAGCAATATGAAGCTTCGCGCCCACCAGAAGGAAGAAGGCTTGTGTGAGACCTACCTGGCTTAATAGACCAATTCTGAGGTAAAGAGCCAGGTCGGGAGTCGACACAGGGCTAGGCTGTCCCAACACACCCGAAGTTCCCAAGTTCCCTGGATCCAAGTTCCCTGGATCCTCCTGGGGCCGACGAGCCTCCCAGGCCTCCGCCCCACTCTGTTGGGACCTGTTCTGGATCCCTCAGAGTGTGTCCCCTGCAGCAGCCCCTGCAACAGCTCCTGTACGCTTCCCTCCAGGGAGCCATCCTGCTCTCACTGCCGTGGGCTCTCTGAAGGGTAGAGGTGAGATGGCCAGAGACTGAGGGGCAAGCATCCTTGGCCTAGGCCCTCCTGGGATCCTGAATCTGAACCCGACCTTCAGCGGGCTTTGGTCTGGCTAGTTCTTTCCTGCCTGTTGTTACTTTTCTCCATTTCTCATCCACCCTTTATTTAATGGGTGGGTTACCCTGGTCTTTCAAACCCAGCGACCACCTTGGGCAGGTGTGGGGCGGTTTACAGGAAACGCAAAGAGAAGATGGATCCTCTTTACATTTCTGCATTCTTCCGATTCCAGTCACAGTAGCCATAGACCGTTGTCTTGTAATGTTCGTCCTTTTGGTCCAGAGCATGAGAGCATGCCTCAAAGAGATGACACACCCCGGCGACTGTCCAAGACTGGAACAAGCCTCTACGCAGTACTGGAACTAAAGAAAGGTGCCCGGCCTGAAGAGGTCAAAAAAGCCTACAGGTTCAGACCCCTGCCATTTATTCAACCCTGGCATTTCCCCTCAATCCCTTTACTTCAGCAGACCTTTTTTTTTTTTTTTAAATCCTAAGAAACTTTTATTTGGGGGCCAAAGAAGGCCACCCCTTCTTCAGTTGTGACCTAGTCTCCATCCTGTGTACACCCCATGTACTCCATGCATCATCTAAAGACCCCACTCTGCCATTCCTCCTAACCCTCCCTTCTGGGTCACTTCCTACACCTTCCACACTGTCCTTTGGGTATCGCCTGGGTAGGAAACTGGCCTTGCAGTATCATCCCGACAAGAATCCAGGGGACACTCAAGCAGCAGAATTCTTCAAAGAGATCAACACAGCCCATGCTGTACTCAGTGACCCTACCAAAAAGAAAATCTACGACCAGCATGGCTCACTGGGAATATATCTATTTGATCATTTTGGTGAAGAAGGCGTCAGATACTATTTTATTGTGAACAGCTGTTGGTTCAAGGTATTGCCATTCTTCCTAGTCCCTCAAAGTAAGAAAGGAATTAGGGGTGGGGGCTGGAGAGATGGCTCACAGTTAGGAGCGTTTAATGCTCTTTTAGAGGACCTGGATGTTATTCCCAGCATTCACATGATAGCTCACCACATCCTGTAACTCACATCCCAGAGCTATCATCTGGATTCTGAGGGCACCAGGCACGCACATGGTGCACAGACATACATGAAGGCAGAACACCCACACATAAAATAAGATAAAGCCAGCTGCGGTGGCACATGCCTCTGAGCCCAGTCCTTGGGAGGCACTGGGTAGCCTGGGCTACATAGTATGATTCTGTCTGTGTCAATAGAGTAAGGAAGCGGGAAGGGCTGCCTTCCTCTCTAGACAGATGCCTCTGTTCTCACTTTCTGGGCGTGAGGATGGAGAGAGGACCTTCAGGGAGCTACAAAAGGAACAGGGTGCCATGGCTCCCCTGTCTTGTAGACACTTGTCATCCTTTGCTGCCTCTTGACCGGCTGCTGTTGCTGCTGCTGTGGCTGCTGCTTTTGCTGTGGAAATCTTATTCCACCACCCGAGGAAGTTTATAGGAAGCAGCAGAGGAACGTCTGTGCTCAGCCCGGGAGATTAGGTAGGGAGGAGGGGCAGGGGTTGGGGTAAGGGATAGCAGAGCGAGGGACTGGTGAGAAAGGCCTGTGAGACGGGCAGTTAACCCCAAAATGGGAATGTTTCTAGTCTTGCATTGGAGTGAAGAGAGACTGAGAAGGCCCCTGATGCCCCTTCTGCTGCAGACTGACAGGTTCAGTGTAGTGTGGGGGAAACACACCTTGAGGAGGAGAGGTGAGGACAAGTCCACAGATGCGGACTCTTGTGACTGAAGGATGAGCTAGGGACAGAGTGCTGGCCCTGCACGTGGAAGGCCCTGGGTGCTATCCGCAGCCTTGGGGGCCCTGCACGTGGAAGGCCCCGGGTGCCATCCCCAGCCTTGCTGGCCCTGCACGTGGAAGGCCCCGGGTGTCGTCCGCAGCCTTGGGGGCCCTGCACGTGGAAGGCCGTGGGTGCCATCCCCAGCTTTGCTGGCCCTGCACATGGAAGGCCCCGGGTTCCATCCGCAGCCTTGCTGGCCCTGCACGTGGAAGGCCCTGGGTGCCATCTGCAGCCTGGCTGGCCCTGCATGTGGAAGGCCCCGGGTACCAACCCCAGCCTTGCTGGCCCAGCACGTGGAAGGCCCTGGAAGCCATCCGCAGCCTTGGAGCTGGGGGAATAAATTGTTTGAGACTGTTCCCACACCAGACAGTTAAAAGTATAAAATGGGATGTTGGCCGAAGTTCACACAATGCCACCTGGCGATGCCAGTGGGTAACGGTTGTTACTGTAGATATGCGAGCATGTTGTAATTCCACCCCAGGAGCACAGTGCAAGGTTGAAGTAGAGGATGAAGACAGCGATAACTAATACGGAAATGTGCATAAGAGTGAGGTATGCAAACGGGGAGCCGCAATGGCTACCAGGTAAGAGAAGCCCCTGAGATGGCTCAGCTGGCAAAAGGCAACTGCCACAAGCCTGACTGCCCGAGTTTGACCTCTGGGACCCATGTGGTGGAGAGAAGGACTCCTGCAGATTGTCCTCTGACCTCTGCACACTTGCCATGGCTCGGGAACCTACACTTGTATACACAGGCACACACATTATATATCATATATAATCATCTATGATATTCGTGTGCATGTGTGTATATAACACATATCTATATGTCTGTATTATATACTTTAAAGCATAGATAGTACTTCAATTATTGGTGGTTATCCTAATAAGGTTCCAATGAAACTGTTTCCGCCATTAGGTGCTGAATCAGTGAGAGCCTCCTGCCACCCAGCCCACTGGACTCACTGAAGAGAGAAGCAAGTAGCCCTAGCCTGACATTGACCCTGACTTGACTCCTGTTCTTAAAAACAATCGATGCCGACGTCAACCTAGAAAGGGCAGCATCTCCCTGTGCCCTCGGGGTGCCACCGAGCCTGTCCACACAGAGCCTTCTGCCGCTCTTCCTTAGCTCTAGCTCCATCCCCCATCTCTATCCACTCGAGGTCTCAGTCCATGGTGGCAGGCATTTCCTGAGAACTCCTTTTCCATTGCGTACCTAGCTACTTGTCATGTCCGGTGGGTCCCTGAGCACTTGCTGATCAGCTTCACCAAGACCCTCATCACCAAGCAAGGTGACTGCTGTCCCAAGGGCTGGTGGCCCAGTTAATCCTCCTTAATTGCAACTTTGTGTACCGAGAACTTCTAGCACCGGCCAGCCTCATTTCTTAGCGATGCCCCTTAGGGAGGCAAGTCTCACTCTCTTCTCATACCTCCACATTGGCATTGACATCCTACTCATAAGACAGCTTGGGAAATATGTGAGTGCATTTGAGGTTTGTGGTTTCCCTTTGGACTTCAGCCCCATGCCTGGACCCGTTATCAGCCGTGGTCCTGTGGACTGGCTACAGCCCATGCAGCAGTGCCTGCTGCCTCCACCCTTTAGACACCTCATACAGGCCATCACCGTGTATTTGTTCCTAACACGGACGTGGACTGTGATGGAGACAGACGGTCCTCGGGAACGTCACTCCAGCCTCAGAGTGCTGCTGGCTTGGCGCCCTCTCCATATCCTCTTCACCGTTTGTTACTCACATGGGACGGGGTACGAACCCTCAAACCTCTGTGCCCCCACTGGGAGAAGGGCTAAATAAAGAATGTTGGTAATAAAAAGCTTTGTCTGATTCCAGTGTATGTTGGTCCTCCCAAAAGACAAGTTATGTGGGGGACAGAGAAAAAGTTCAATGACTGCTGCTCATGTCTGGGATGAGGCTGCGTGCTGTTGTAGAGTTGATCACCATGGAGTTGGGGGTGGAAGAAGATGCCCAACGCTCCTAAGATTTCTCTGCAGACTGGCTCACTGGTGTTCCAGATATCTGCAGCATGTGGATTCTTTCTAGCCACATCTGTTTCTCACAACTTTTTCTTTTTTTTCTCTTCTTTCTTTTTTTATCAAGACAGGGTTTCCTTGTGTAACAGCTCTGGCTGTCTTGGAACTCTTGCTTTGTAGAAGACTAGGCTGGCCTCCAATTCATAGAGATCTGCCTGCCTCTGCCTCCCAAGTGCTGAGATTAAAGGCATATGCCACCACACCCAGTTTAACGTCTTTCTTTTTATTTATGTGTGTGTGTATCTGTGCATGCCTGTAGAGGCCAGAAGAGGGCGCTGATTCTCTCGGAGTTGGGGTGACTGGTGGTTGTGAGGGTTGGATTCTGAACTCCAGTCCTCATGAGTGAAAGGCAGGCTGCCTTAGCCACTGAGACATCTCCAGTTCACGCTTGTCTCAGTTTCTAAGCAATTTTAACACCCTTGAAATGGCGCCACTAATATAGTGGTGGACCAGAATCACACACTCTTACGTCCGCATCATAAGGCAGGCCTGGGCCCAGCACAGCAGCCTTCTCTTGCCTCTTCAGCTGCTCTCCCAGGATGATATAACAGGCTATCCAAGGGTGACATAGTTCAGTCTGTGGAAATTGCTTCTCTAGCACATGAGACCCTGCATTGATTCCCAGCACCTCATCTGTCTTTAATAAGGGAGAGGGAGGTGTGTGGCCAGATTTGTCACCAAGTCTGATGACCTGAGTTCGATTTCTGGAAGCCACACGCTGGAGATAAAGAACTGACCCCTGTCAATTGACCTGTGACCTCCACATATGCTCCATGCTTTCCCCCCCTCCCTAAGTAAAAGTAACTTTATCTATTTATTTATTTATTTTTTAGGGCTGAGCAAGAACAAACATAGGCCAGAGAGATGAGGCAAGAAGTTCTTTCTCAGCCAGGCGGTGGTGGCACATGTCTTTAATGCAGAGGCAGAGGCAGAGGCAAGCAGATCTTTGTGAGTTCAAGGCCAGCCTGGTCTACAAGAGCTAGTTCCAGGACAGCTAGGGCTGTTATACAGAGAAACCCTGTCTCGAAAAACCAAAACAAACAAAAAAGTTCTTTCTCTAGTGTCTGTTGTTCTGAATCCTAATCTCCAGCAGGAGGGTCAGGGCCGCTGGCTAAGCCATAGAGGGAGAGACAGCACTGTCTACAGATCTGTCCAGACCTCCCTCCCACCCTGAACCATGTGTGGTATCTCTCCCACATGCTAATTTATGGAGATTGTATCACTATTTGGAATAAGGTCTCAAGCCAGAACCTTCCTAGTGACGAGTGAGCCCCACATCTTTGCTGGCCCGCCTTCCACTGAAAGCCGTGACATTCCTGCTCTTCTTGCTCAAGAAAGCCACTGGTTCCTGAGTGAGTCAGGGTCACTTGGTCCGGGACAGCTGTGGCTCGCCTTACACGAGCTAAATTGGGAACTGGAATGTCACACAGATGCCCCGTGTCTCCCTGCCCCCACAGTAATATTAATCTCTCTGGGGAGTGAGGGACAAACAGTACTGCAGAGTGGACAAAGGGTGGTTTAGGGGAGCAAGAGGATTTCACTGGGGGGCTAAAGCGACAAGTGCCTGGAGAGGCTTCTGAGCAAGGAGAGCAGACAGAAGAGTCTGGAAATAGCCAGGGGCGAGAGGAGCTGTTAGAGGAAGAGACAGGAGACATCACTCAAGAGGGAGCAATAGCAGGGATCCTAAGAATCCACAGTCTAGAGTTTGCAAGGAAGGGGTGCACAGAGAGCGAGAAGGCCAGGAACAGGGCCACAGCCAAGGCAGGCACGAGAGCGCCGAGGGATGAACTTCACGGTGGGTTTCAAGCCGCTGCTCGGGGATGCACACAGCATGGACAACCTGGAGAAGCAGCTCATCTGCCCCATCTGCCTGGAGATGTTCTCCAAGCCCGTGGTGATCCTGCCCTGCCAGCACAACCTGTGCCGCAAGTGTGCCAACGATGTCTTCCAGGTGGGCTCCGGGACAGATAGGAGGGCACAGGGTGGGAGCTCCCACAGGTGGGAGGTGGCGAAACTGCCCTGACTGAGCCGCAGCAGAGCTGGGGTCGTAGGATCCCGGAGTAAGCGTGAGTCAGCAGTGTTCTGAGGATGGCAAGCTCAGCCCATGTCCACAGCAGCCAGACAGTGGCATCTGAGGGAGACTGGCAGGGACTGGCAAGGAACAGTGGTCCTGCCTGGGTTATGTGGGAGCTTTACTAGATTTTGCTTACTTTGAGGCTTTGATTTTTTTTGTTTTTTACAAACTGTACAAGAGATCAATGAAATATTGAGGTACTAAAAAATAATAGGGTCAACAAGATGGTTAGTTGTTGAAAGCACTTACTACCAAACCTGACAACCTGAATTTGCTCCCCAAAACATAACGTGGTGAAAAAGAGGACTCCTGAAAGCTGACCTCTGACCTCCATTTACAGGAGTGCACACACACACCCTTAAAATAATAGCTGGGTATGGTGGTGTACACCTGCAATTCCAGCACTTAGGGCCTGGGGCAGGAGGATTGTCATTATTTTGTTTTGTTTTTGAGACAGTCTTTATGTAGTTCTGGCTGTCCTGGAACTCACTATGTAGAGCAGGCTGACTTCGAACTCACAGAGATCCTCCTGCCTCTGCCTCCCTGGTGCTGGGATTAGAGAGACATCACCACCACCGTGGCTTGACGATCAATTGTTATGATTTTTAGGCTAACCTGGTTTACACAGTGAATTCTGAACCAACCTACAAGACCCTGTCTCAAACAGAAAAGAAAGAAAAAAACCTAAAATTAAAAATAAAGCCATGAGAAGGCGTATGAGCCCAGCAGAGTGATGTGCCTTTGAGACAGAACTCGTCTGTCCTTGACAGGGCTAGTTAGATACAGTGGCCCAGGGAAGCAGGAAGTCTCCCCAATCTCATACCTGTGAGCCTTTCTGACCTGGTAAAGAGGCTCATGGACTAACACTCAGGTGGCTTACAGACAGACAGACAGACAGACAGACAAACAGAAAGCAGAAGCAGAATGGTACTTTCCAGAAATGCCTATGTAGCTGTGGTCATGAGGCCAGGCATAGCTAAGGTATAAGTCACTGGTATCATTCTGTCCACACATTTCAAAAATAAAAACAAAAAGTCGGGCATGGCGATGCATGGCTGCAATCCCAGCCTCGGGAGATGGTAGCAGAATGAGCTCAAGGTTGGCTTGGGCTATGAGACCCTGTCTAACCAACTGAATAAATGCAGATGCCAGAATTCCTGATAAATTCATAGGCTTGCGTTCCTGCCCTGTGTCATTTGTAGAGGTTCAAGCAGGCTATAGACGGGGTCAGAGGTCAGGGAGAGCAAAAGGACAGGACACATGTGTACAGGCACGAGACCTTGAAGTAAAAACTGCAAGAGCTGGCTGGCTTAGTGTCTAGATCCATGACAGGAGCATCAGGAATAAGATTCTGGCCAGGCTCTGTGATCGAAGTGCCTGGGAGGAGCATCACAAACCGGAAGCTAGCCTGGTCTATGGAACAAATATACCAGTATAACCAGGGACTATATACAGCAAGACCCTGTCTCAAAAAGGAAAAAAGGTGTGTGGGGCTGGAGAGATGGCTCAGCAGCTAAGAACACTCATTGCTCTCCCAAACAACTCAGGTTCAGTTCCCAACCTCCACAAGGTAGCTCACAACCAGCTGTAACCCCAATCCCAGTGGATATGATGCCCCCCTCGAAACCCTTCCTGCATGGGCACCATGCATGCAGACAAAATACACAAAAATAAATCTTCAAAAAATTAAAAGAATTATCCCCACTTTTCACAGACTATAAGGAAATGAGTTGAGCAGTTTCCATGCCCCTTTACCCCCTTCTCTCTTTGGTGTTTTGGTTAATCCTGGGCATAGTGTGTGTTAAGCATGCACCCTACTATTGATCTATACACGTTTCAACACAAACTATGTAAAAATATTAATGAGTGTGTGTGCATGTGTGTGTGTGTGTGTGTGCGTGCATGCGTGTGTGCGTGTATGTGTGTACATACAGGTGCCCACAGAAGCCAGGAGAGGGTGTCAGACTCCCTGGAGCTGCAGAGTTTGTGACATGGAAGCTGACACTCAGAAAGAGCAGCTCAAAATGGCTGGGCTGCCTCTCCACCCTCAACACAAGCAGGTCTTACTTCGCTGAGAATAGTCTTTTAGGTTCCTTGGTGTAGCAGGCTTTCTTGAACTGGAAGCCCCCAAATCATGACACAGAATCTCTTATTAATTATGAATGCTCGGCCTAATGCGTATCCCACTAGCTCTTATAACTTTTTTTAACCTGTTTCTCTTCGCTTACATTGTGCCTAGGGGCTTCTTACCTGTCTTTCATTCTGTATAGCCTTCTATTCCTGCTTCTGTGAGTGACTGGCAGCGGCTGCCTGGTTCTGGATGTCTCCCTCTTTTTCGGTCTCTCGAGCTTAGATTCCTGCTCCTACTTAGTCTCTCTGCTTGCCAGCTTCGCCTATCCCTCTACTGCCTCGCTATTGGCCATTTAGCTTTTTACCAGACCAATCGGGTGCTTTAGGCAGGCAAAGTGCAACAATGACACACCATTACACAATTAAACAAATGCAGCATAAACAAAAGCAACACACCTTTACACAGTTAAAGTAATATTCCACAACACCTTGGGATAGGATGTTTGAAGGCAATACTGGGCTGTTAGGCCATCATAGCATGTCTATATGCCCTGTCTTCTGCCCCCTTCACTGAGTCTACTGCCACTGAATCCTTGAGTTATCTTCAGAGTTCCTTTTATTCTGGGTGTCCAA